AGAAGAAGAAGAAGAAGAAGAATGGAGGAAAGAAGAAGAAGAAGAAGAAGAAGAAGAAGAAGAAGAAGAAGAAGAAGAAGAAGAAGAAGAAGAAGTCCTTCCTGCCATCTCACCCACATCATCTCCTTCCATATCATCTCCTTCCATACCGTAATGAAGAACTACAATAATAATGAACGAATGAACAAGATCAATGTCCGGAATTTCTCGAATGATCCCCTTTACTGCCATTGCATAAAGAGCTCCCCTCTAGCTCGCACCCCCTCTCTACTTCACTCGGAATGCTTACCATCGATTGCAGTTCATCCTGAGCAACCTCGGATGTTCAACGGACAACGCAACTGCTCTCATTGCCTCTCCTCTCATCTACCGTGATAGCTGCCTTGCAGGTGAACTCCATGTCCAATCGGTACCCCAGCAACGGGCCTCCTTGATGCCACACCAATCAGGAGGATGAAGCTGTGGGTCCACCATAGCCAAAGGTAAGTCTACTTGTCGATCCCCAACTCCTTCCTCCTACTTCAACCTCTCTTCCAAAGGTAAGTCTACTTGTTGATCGATCCCCGCCTCCTTCCTCCTACGTCAACCTCTCTTCACCTCCATAGCTCGGCTGGAAGGTCTTCTTCCTCTACCTTTATGGCCTAGGGCTTTTCCTATTTCTCCCTACTGCTTCATAGCCATGGAGGTCTTCTTCCTCACCCTGGAGCTCCAACGTCACCTCCAAGTGCTTCGCCAACCCCTCCCTCGGGCACTGGAGCATCATGACTACTCGGTCATGACTACTCGGTGAATGAGCGGACTGCTCATGGGCGTTTCGCACCCAAATTTCCCAGATTATATCTTGCCACATTGGGCTTGCAACTTGAAAACCGCCTATTAAAGTAAAAAAAAACTCACCAATAAAGCTGCTAGTTCCTGGCAGACTAATGTAATAGTAATATTCGCTAAAGTGAAAACCAGGAAAATAGAAAATAGTTGAGAAGATAGACATTTTAGTATTTTACTGACTAAACTTCCGTAATTTTCACAATTCAGGTCTTATGTCGATCTGACTCGACCATATAAAGCACCTACAGATTAGCAAAAGGGCTGAAGAAACCAGTCCATGCCTTAACACACGAGTGAAGTACGACCTTCAATTCCTCGTATATTGCATTGTACTTAAGGCTGCCCAGCCTCCAGTACCTCTTGGCCAGGCCCTGGCTGACTACTTGGCCTGCCTTTGCTGATAGGCTTACAAGATGTTTCCCTCTTTTGGCGGAAACATCATTGCAGACCGACAGCTTCCGCAGGCCCTGAACATAGACTTACACATGCCTATATTCAGGCCGTGGATCATCATTACCTCCTGGACATCTACTGGACCCTTCTTGGCCTAGCCGACTTGATGGAAAATCCCTACCGGCGTCGAGCAAATTCTACCTATGTCGCTGTCCGTTACTCTGCCCTCCATATGTCTCTGCTGCTAACTTCCCGCACTGCGCCTGGTCCTACCCCACCTATCTCTATTGTGTCCCCTGTCCGAGCCACATCCACACAACACTGCCACCACAGGTAGTGCATGGACTCAGGCTTGGGCTCAGGCAGACACACGGCATGCATACATAAGCGGCAGATCGCATGCCACAAGTGTGTGCTTCATTGTCTGCAATATGACTAAAGCTGCTTCGATTTGTTCTAGACTCTAGTCATCTGGGTGGATTAGGGGCTATTGTGGTGAAAATCCAAAACACACTGTAAAACACGGTGAGCAGTCTCAGGATCGGAATATATAAATTATCAGCAGTAACAAACAAACAAAAAAAAGGACATCATTTCTCATAAAAACTTACTAAAAACTGCAGAAATCTCAGACACAATTCTGCAATTGTCCAGGTCATTGCAGCAGTATCAAGCAGCAATTGCCTCCCTCTTATCTTTGCTTCTGCGTGGCGAAGAGCACCGGTGCTTCTCTGTATCATGCATTGCGTGCTTTTCTGTGGTCCCCAACAGAAAAGCACGCAATGCACATTCCGACTGTGGGGTGACATCGGTCATCGGTTTTGACTCTTGAGACCTTTTGACAGACAACTGGCCTACGTAGGCCTGTACTGACTGCACGGCTTCGTCTGGCCTAGGCCTGGCAATCGGTTTTGACGACAACTGGCCTAGGCCTGGCAATCGGTTTCGACGACAACTGGCCTAGGCCTGGCAATCGGTTTTGACGACCCCAGACCGCAAGCCTATTGTCATACAAGCCAGGGTTGGCAACCGAGCAGCTTCCCTGCCTAGAAAGCTAATGGAAATCTCAGTCCTACAGTCCAGGGATCAAATCCCGGCGGCTACAGTCGCAGGAGAAGTCAGAGCACACAGGCATGTCGTTGGGCTGCGCCAATGTTTCCACCATATCCATGCCTTTCTTGTCCAACCTGCACAGGGTCAGTGATAGGCTTGCAGGCCATGTGTAAAACTGTACTTAAAGAAAAACTTCAAAAAGGTTTTGAAAAACAAGAGTGGACCTGGAAGGCAGGCTGGATGGCTTAGGAGATGTGGATTCGTCCATAGATAAGGGATTCCATACCCTGCCTCCTTTTTTGTTTTTTTGTTCATTAACTTTGAAATTTGAATGGATCTTTTGGCACTACCGTCTTCACCCAAATATAACACCCGATCATTGTATCTGTATTTGAGGCACCTTTTCGGTCCAGGTGCAGCGATAATGACCGGGCGTTCTGTTCGGGTGAAGACGTTAGTGAAAATTTCGATCCAGTGAGTAGGGGTCCATCGTTTCACTGCTCCTGGCAAGAAACTTTGGACACCTATTCCACTGGATTCAGTGGTGGTTTGAGTCAACTGTGCTCTGGGTTGCTATAGATTTTCGTCAGCCCCCTGGTTTGCAATAGACTCTGTTTAAGACTCCACAGTTGGGAACATCCTCTCCCAGCACTGTCCACGACACCCCTCACAACCTTTTTTATATATATAGTCAAACAGAGCTGCCCGGTAAACCGTAGGCAGAGAGGGAGAAGAGGACAACAAACGAGGGGCTGTGGCAAACTGTTTCGTCGGAGTTTCACCGACTCATCAGGAGGCTGAACCCTCAACAGTCTGCAGAATCCCCTAACTGATTACACTGTAAGTGATAACCCACCTTAACCCCGGCTGTGGTTAAGCATCAACGACTGCCCGACTATTCAGCCTCCTGATGAGTCGGCGAAACTCCGACTAAACAGTTTGTCACAGCCCCTCGTTCGTTATCCTCTTCTCCCTATCTAGATCATCAAACAGAGCTGCCCGGTAAACCGTATTCATAGAGAGAGAAGAGGACAACGAACAAGGGGCTGTGACAAACTGTTTCGTCGGAGTTTCACCGACTCATCAGGAGGCTGAACATATATATGTATACTACATAAGGCTGGGTCTCCTGGTAGTCAACATTCAGTCTTGCTATGCTGCTTTGACGCTGGCTGGACTCTGACTGGACGCTGGCATTGACGCTGGCTTGACGCTGGCGAAACGCTGGCTTGACGCTGGCTGTGCGCAGGCACTGTGGACGACGACGTGGGACTGTGGCAGCATGCTGGCGCTTTCTGTTCTGTGCGCCAGGCATTGCTGATGTGGTGCTGCCACCTGTCTACCTGCTGATGTGGCGCATGCCACTTGTCTACATTGCTGATGTGGCGCATGCCACTGGTCTACATTGCTTATGTGGCGCATGCCATTCTTTGCCTGTTGTATGCACAGGAGTTTGGACTATCTCCATTTTTTCCCCCTTGCACAGGGGCCATGCCAATCTTCTCTGTATAGAGACTGTAGTTCCAGTTTAAATGGATGTCCGGCGGGACACCACGCCGGACCGCCACAGTCAGGTTCGATAGTCTTAAGGGTGGGCAAATAATGCCAAAATTGAACATTGGGAAATGAGCTCTGCACTGCCTGCAGGTATTGGTGTTCTTTTTTTTGTTGTTGTTGTTGTTTCTTTTTTTTTTTTTTTTTTTTTTGGACCATTTCTCGATTTGTGCGTGTCGTCCTTGTGCGGGGGCCATGCTAATCTTCTCTGTATCGTTCCAATTTTAACAGATGTCCCGAAGGACACAGGTATTGGTGTTCTAACTGAGTTGTGTCTGTGTTTCTTTTTGGTCAGTGACAGCAGCCATGGCAGCCGATGCAGGTGCAGCGCCTGGTCGATGGATTTTGAGGACAGGGAAGGAGAGGGACAAAGTGGATGATGAAGATGCAGCTTTCAAGAGAATGGTCGCAAAGATGCAAGAGGTGGCAGGGGAAAGGGCTGGATACCTTCATGGTCGAGGAGCACTGGACGGCGACGATTTGCTGTATCTTACGGAGCAGATGGAGGCAGAGGAAGACCTGGAGCAAATGCGAAAACGGACAGAAAAACGGGCATTTGCAGCATTTAGGGCAGCTGCCACGATTGCTGATTCCACTGCTCTTGCACCTGCTCCTTCAATAAGAATCGAGGCCAAGGCAAAGAGCGCCATCAGGCAGTCGACGCTGCTGAAACACATGATCGAAGTCAAACCGAAGAAGGCACGGCACATGGAGCCACCACACACTGATGTTTCACTGTGTGATCGAACTGGGGATGAGGACTTGCCAGCACAGATGTCAGGTACAGCAGCTCTGACAGGCGAGACTCTGACGAAATTGGATTCTTCAGTGGCAGATGGGAGTCCGTCTGCTCATGTAGACAAGAAGGGGGAAATGGCTATCGCCACGGGAGCTAATGGCCGCTGTGGCGCTGCAGCAGAGTCACATGCTGGTCCTGTTGATCAGACAGCTGCTAGAGCTGACACGCAGTGTGATGGAGTTGCTGCCGATGGAAGCCAAGCAAGTGGGAGAGAAACACTTGGTAAGCCGGAGGAGAGAACTTGTGTAGGCCTTTTAGGCTTAGCATATGATGATGATGATGATGATAACGATGATGATGACGATAATGATGACGATGATGATGACGATGATGATGACCACGAAGAGCAGGAGCAGAGTCAAGGTAATGACACTCTGGGTAAGACAATTGATGATGGTGGCACAGGTGGATAGAGGTTGGGGGAGGAGGGCTGGGAGGGAGAGAGGGGAGGAATGGGTAGATGGGGGGTTGGGAGGGAGAGAGAGAGAGAGAGAGAGAGAGAGAGAGAGAGAGAGAGAGAGAGAGAGAGAGAGAGAGAGAGAGAGGTTAGTGCAGGGTGTGTGCAGCTAGTAAAGTGGGTGTACATAGTTGATAGCATGGGAAATTGCTTGAATTTAGTTCAGACTGTGTGCCAACACTGGCAAGTAATTTGAGGGTGGTTTGTGTTCATTTGTTGATTAATGATATAGCCTGCTGGCCAGGAAGGTGATCTTCCTGCTGTGCACTGAGTTTCCTGTGAACTGCTTTTTGTTGCGGCCATCGATTGCTGTTCAATAAATGGTATTACATGCATTACTGTAGATGACATTTTTGAAAGGAGTATTTGTGCTCTCATTGCATGAATGTGTGTCCACTGTACATGCATGTGTATGCGAAAGGGATGCGTCGTTGTGCCATCACAGGGGTACACAAAACACATCAACGCGTCCTGGCATGGGTGCTATTCTGGTTATACTTATTACAACACACACACACACACACACACACACACACACACACACACACACACACACACACACACACACACACACACACACACACACAGATATAGCTAGCATGTGATTCACAACTTTGTGTCGTGAGGATTATGAAGGCATAGCCCATCCAAGTTCTTGTTTTCGAACGTATGATGACAGTCAACATTGCACTCGTGTGGGCTGGAATGGCCATGCCTATACAATTGTGGCTGGCGTTCCTCGGTGTTCCTAGCATGTAGGAGCCATGTAGCCTGTCACACACCTGTCTACACCATGTCGTTCGGTGCAGCAATTGGAACTGCGGGAATTGGATGCGGTGCTTCCACAGTTCACGCCCGAACCGGTCCTGTCCGGTCTCTATAGGCAACGGCTGCTCGTCAACTCAAAATATCCTGCAACCCAAACGCTAACTGCCCTCTTGCGCCATTCTAGAGTAGTCTGACACAACGGTGAGTATCGAGAACTGTGTGAAGTTTGTCTCTCCGTTGTTCCATTCTGTGCCCCTCCACTTCCCTCCTCTCTCTTACCCTTCTCCCTCCCCACCCCCCGCTTCCTATAGAACTCCACCCGCTACCTTTTCCTTCCTCCCTCCTCTTGTAGTACTAGTAAATGCATACGAATGAGCATCATAAGATAACAGACAAAATATAGGCTGAAGATCTGAAGAAACGTGAACAGTAGCGTACCTCCCCTGTACTCTGCCTCCTTTCATAGCGTGCAAGTGGGCCGTCAAGGCACACAGGGATATAGGCAGCTGGCGCTAAACCACAATCAACATGGCCAGCATTGTAACGTGAAAGACGTTACAATGGGATCTGTAAGAACAAATTAAACGGTTACACCCCAAAGAAAGCCAAAGTAAAGAGAGCCAAGAAAGAGATATAACGGGTCTATTCTGCTCCATGCTGCTTGCCATAGCGCTAAAACTGTTTCGTTGTTGGATTGGCTCATCTCAAGTTTGCATCATCGTCTGCAATAGAGGTAAAGCTGCTCCGATTTTGGATCGACTCATCTGGGTGGAACAGGGGCTGTTGTGGCGAGAATCTACAGCACACACACAGCCGCTCTGAGATAATGTCGACCATCAGTTGGTGCAAAAAAGGGTGTCATAGCTCGCACAAAAGGGGTCACAGTCAAAGCCTTGGGTACGTAGTACATACTACGTATTCTAGTGAGGTTGAACACTAGAATATTCTAGTGCCATCATGAAAACAACTGCTGTTTAGCTGATGCTGAGATAGGACACTAGAATATTCTAGTGCCATCATGAAAACAACTGCTGTTTAGCTGATGCTGAGATAGGGCCCTCCATAGCATTGTGCACTAACCACGTACGGAGTTCTATCTGTGCAAAGTTGCGATAACGAGTAAGACGGAGCGTATTTGCATCTGCATTGCACGACACGCAGCGCAGTACCTGCATGCGCGCTGCACTACAGTAGACCGTGCGGAGCACTGTGCAGTTCAGTCACCTTCCATGCAGTGTGGTTTTGCTCGTGAGCAGTGCAGAGATGTCTTCGCACCCTCTGGAACCGGGTCATTTTTCTGCAGCTCGGCGAAGGGGAGGGAAGGGTGGGTCACACACCTGATGGCCATGTCTGATGCAGAAAAACTCCATCATCATCAAAACTGCAAAACACACGCAACACAATACAGAAAAACACCAAAGTCCTGCCTGCCATTTCTCACTAGGGGTTAAGAGCTTGGGTGAGTGCTCCTCCCTGCACAGATTAGAGCTCGCTAGCTGCACCAGGTTCAGCAGTGAGCAAAATGTGTCCCACCACATGGGCCCGTTTAAAAAAAAAAAAAAAAAGAAGGGTCTTCCGAATCTTCGCTCGCACTGCATCCAACACTTATCTCAACCCCAAAGCCCCCTTCACGCACACCTACCGGTAGTCGTCTGCTTGCTAATTCACATCCTTCAGAGTGTCTGCTACCGGTAGTCGCCCGCTTGGTAATTCACATCCTTCAGAGTGTCTGGAGATGCTCATGTGCACAACCATACATCGAACCTGCCCGGATTTTTGTGTCATGGGCCCATGGCTGGCAGACTGCACTGAACTCCGACGTCCTGCATGCACATCTATCCATGAGGAACGATTTGACCCCCCCTTTCTCATAGTTTGTGAAGACGTCTGCCAGCCTGATTGCCTCCAGCACACCATGCATACGAGGGTACATTGCTGATTGTGGCCTGTGGACCATCCACAAGCTTCAACAAATGCACAATAGGCTCCGTGGCCTTTATGGGCCTCCTCGTCGTCCCAAAAATTATCGTCCGAGACAGTTATTGTGGCTTCCTCAAGTGGGACAGTGGATTGGGCCGCACTAAGCCAGTCACCCAACCCTTTGCCCTTGCAGCAAGGCAGACGGCGCACCTCCTGTCCCACAACTTGAAGGACTGCAGCATGATGATGTTGGTGGTGAATCTTCTCACACCTGGTCTCTTTATTTGTGACCCGCCTGAATGGGTGAGGTCCGTGAGGAAAAACGCACACACCTTGCCATGATTTTTTATGACTTAACTGCAAAGTGCAACTGAGCCCAAAGATCCAAGGACACTCTTTCTCCACCAGCTTACCTGCCTTCATGCGCACCCTGGTATTATCCATGGCAACACCAACCACTTCTAAGCCCAATCCTTTTTTTTTTTTTTTTTTTTTATCAACACCAACCACACTTTTAGGCCCAATCCTTTTTTTTTTTTTTTAGCCACTGGGTGCGCCAGTCTATTGGTGGGGAGCTGCACGTGTTGCGCCCACCCAATCTCCTGGATTGCAAAATTGAGGATGTTATATGATGCAGCAGAGTCTTTGTCCTTCCCTTCCACGCACATGGACCCCTCCAAAAACCACTCCCAGCAGGCGAGGACACCATAACATGGATGTATGGTGTTCCCTGCCTATCAGGCCACCCATGAACTTGCACCTTACACTCCATTGGCTCCCACCTTTTAGCTATACCCCCCCCCCCCAATCCTCAATGCACCTCTTGTTCTGCCCGTCTAATCTTTCATTCCTCGTCAGCTCCCTGTTGCAAGTTCGCTATGACAGACAGGCGGTGCACTTAACATCCACAATCTCTAGGAATAATTTCCGAATAACTCCCCACCAATAGACAGAGCTCTTAAA